CATTCGCGTATGCGCTACTGACGTCAGATTCTCGACAGACGTGACGAACGATTTTCACGTCTGATTTTATTCTGACGTCAATATGAAATCATAAATGCTAGCTGGGTACTGTCCTAAAAATTATCTTTTGTATTTTATTACTTAAAATTGCAGTTATTGAGGATTAGATTAGCACGGCAGTGTAGTGGTAATTGTAATGCTATGCTATTTTTAGTACAAGGCTTATAGTTTGACGGAGTTTGCGCCTTAAAATTGGAGTTCCCTAAGACTTTCCATGGTGATAATTTCTTCATCTGGTGCACTGTTTAAAATATGTGTGGTGTAAAAAGTAATCTTAAAATGGAGTCAAAATCCAACACCAAGTGGTGTTAATATAACACCATGAATTATGGTTGAAAATGTGTACCGATCGCGGCAAAGGCGGTGTGGATCACGTGATGTTCTTAAATCTCGCGTCTGTTGACTTACATGAAGAATATATAAACTGAGGTAATCCTTTGCTTTGGTGTGACAGTGTCACAGTGACACTACAAGATGTTCGATACTAAAGAGACCTTAAATAGGTGGAAACAGCTGTCAATACTTAAAGTATTTTAAGTTAGTGCAACGCACTAAAAACATTATCTATAGCGAGTTGAAGGTTCCATTTTCTGGAATAATACCACTGGTTGTGCGTCAAGGAACTTCCTGTTTCCTTTTTTTTCCTGTGTAGTATGATTCAATTTGTCCACAAACATATAATATTTAACACTGAAAAGGAGTTCAATTTACACCAAGTAAAATTTATTTTTAATACTGTGTGAAAGTTAAATTAACACCATTTTAGTATTTGAATTTACACCGGACCAACGGACCTTATTTAACACCATTTTGGTTTGTATCGATATAGACCATGTTTGGTGTTAATTTGGTATTAAAATGGTCATGAAATTTTGAACAGTGTGCATGAGAACTTTCTGGTATAAAAAAACGATCAAGTTATACACATAATATTTAAGGTTTTCTTCAATTCGAGAATTTCCTCTTTAAAACGAGTTGTCCTCATCGTGGTCAACTGAAGAATCCTCAAACTAAGAAATGTTTTTCAGCTAAATCTCCATACGCTATTGCAGTTTGATCAGTTTGTTCAGTTAGATCAGCAATTACAGTATTTAGTTCTTACTGCCACTAAATACACACATGAACTGTCGCATCGTATTAAACTATAGTTATACCCAAAAATTCAAGGCCGCAGCTCCATTTATTTTTTATTGCCGCGATTTTTTATCCGGCGTACAAATGTTCATCAAGTAGCCTTCTAGGGTTAAAGCCTCATTCAGAACCTCGTAATTAGTGGAAAAAATTAGTGGTTTCAATTATACTCATAATTAACACAAAACGATCATTCACAATGCGCAAAATTAACATATAAAATTAAGGGAGTTTGTTAAAAGATTGTGCATTCTTCTTAACCTGACATAAACAATATTAATTAGGTATATTAAAATAATATTTTTTACAACCAATACAATAATATTTATATAACCTAACCTTTACTGGCAAATCTTCAAACTTTTTGCTTTTGACATCAATATTGACGGTACATATGTACCGTGGAAAATCAGACTATTTTACACGCTTTAGGTTTATAACCATTTAAAGACATGACTACAAAAACTAAAAAAAAAAATAATGGTTAAGAGTGCACTGTCATCAAAAAATGCAAAGAAAGAAGGATTACATTTTATGATACCTCAGAGCTATAGGAAGCTCTAGTTTTTAGTTGAGCTTCATTTTAATACATCACATAAACAAAGTTACAAATAGATCTAAATATTCCAAATTCTTGTCTTCAAGACATTAATGTCTTTTGACATACATCAAGCATGATTTGTAGGGCCAGGGCCGCATTTCATCCACTAAGAAACAGAAGAGACAAGGTCAAAAATTCTCATTAAATAAAGGAATTTTTAACACGACAGCAAGTATTACTGCAGTAATACTTGCTGTCGTGTTAAAAACAATGACTTAATGAACGACTCAACTTTACATTTCTTAGCTGCATCAACGCATGCTTGAGCCTGAGCCTTTCCTGTTCCTCTATCGGTACGAATATTATTTTATAACAGAAAAATAAACTATGTAGAGGCAAGATTCAAGAACGTTTTTTTGTGAAACTCCCTAATGTACTAAATATTTTGTATTTTTCTGGATCCGCCCTTCCCACAGTAATATATAATTTACTATTTTGAATAATTGTTTTATTGGTTTACGTCTTTTATTGTAAAATGATACCAGAAACTAATTGTGGTTAGTAATTTTAAAATTATTCGGATTTACTAAATAGTATGCAAAACATTTTTGAGTGTTTGTATACCATATATGGTCATTTTACTATGAAAATTATTAAGATGATGGTACCTACTACGTATGGTTTTAAATAAGCTATTGCTTATCTATAGAATCCCGAGTCAAAATTTAGATCGTAATTTAAACCTAATAAGGAACGGTCTTATTTTCGCCTAAAGATAACCAACTTTCAACCTAAAACATGGCAGATAAGTTCATTTTCCCGATTTTTCGGTTCAATTACGTTTAAATTTAAACCAAATTATGACCGTTTACAACCTACAATCCAAAAAAGCCCAGGCCACAGCGAATGTCGATTAATAAAATCCCGACAATATTTGAATTAATATCGTTGCTGCGCCTGAAAAAACATCTATGTGCATTTTAACAAATTTTACAGGAAAAGGAAAAGGCATTTCACTACCAGATAAAACTTTGATGAAAGTATTTCCTAATATTTTTCAGTGTAATTAAGTATTGAAATAATATTATAATATAAGGGATGCATACTTTCATAAAAGTTTTATCTGGTAGTAATAGTTATTTGTGTACCAACCCTATTGAAAATGCCATATAGAACCATATAAAAAACACGTATCTGGATTCTATATGGTTTCTATCTGGTTCAATATAGGTATTTGAAACAGGCATTTCACTATAGAACCAGATAGAAGATTACATTACAGAACCAGATGAAAACACTCTAAAACACTATAGAACCAGATAGGGAAACCTATCTGGAAATACATATAGAACAGAAACCAGATAAATCCATATACAATGTATATTATACATCCATATACATGTATGCATGTCTTTATAAAGACATGTATATGGTTGTATATGGATTTATCTGGTTTCTGTTCTGTATATGTATTTCCAGATAAGTTTCCCTATATGGTTGATATGAAAATTTTTAAAATGGAAATCCATATTCAACCATATAGAATCCGTAATGTAAACCAGGACTTTCCATATAGGACCTATAAAACCATATAGAACCAGATACGTTTCCTTATCGGATTCAATATGGGTTCTATATGGCATTTTCAATAGGGTACATTTATAAAAGTTTTATCTGGTAGTAAAGTGTTTTTTCTTTTCCTGTAAAATTTGTTAAAATTCGCATGCATAGAGTTTTTTGCAGGCGCAGCGACGATATAAATTCAAATATTGTCGGGCTTTTATTAATCGAATTAATTCTTTGGAATACCTGTAAATTATCTACAAAAAATCTTACTGAGTCCAGTCTGTAGATTAAACCGTTTCTTTTTTATTAACGTTGAAACGTATAAATTCTAAACAAATTTGATATTTTTATAAAAAAAAACTGTTTTGAAGCGAAGTATAAAATTTTATTTGTAGTCAAAAGCTGGATCATGAAATTAAGAATATCATAAAAGTTAAGCTATTTTATAAAATCGGTATAGGGTCATTCCACGTTACTCGGGGATTTTTGTCCCGCCCGTCACAATTAAAAATGGTGAGTAAAAACTACACGTTTTAAAATTTATTTAAAAATATTGTTTTATTATGCTTTTAATAAGTTATAAGCACAATAAAAATAACATTATAAAATATTAATTTTATAACTTGTGGTTTTTACTCACAATTTTCAATTGTGACGGGTGGGACAAAAATTACCGAGTAACGTGGAATGCCCCTATACCGATTAATTGAGTGTATTGAAGAATCTTGGTACGTTATTTATAGAGCTTCGAAAATTGCCCCTAAACGTTTTTCCTACAGTGAATATTATAATAATATATTATGCAGAATAATAAAAATAAGATTTTAGACACTTATAACTTTTGAACTGTAGGTGATAATAAAAAATTGTTTAAAACAAATTTGTAGAGCATTAAATTATTAATTAACTTTTTTTTCTACGATTAGTTCTTTAGCCGCTAAATGTAAAAATATCAATTTTTTTTAGAATTTATACGATTCAACGTTAATAAAAAAGAAAGAGTTGAATCTACAAACTGGACTTTGTAAGATTTTTTGTAGATAATTTAATGCTAAAAAAGGACCAGTGATTGTTTATCAAAAAAAAAGTTCTACATAGCATGAAGGTGAAATAAATCTTAAAAAACTATTTTTCTATGTTAAATCAATGGGAAAACTTTAAATTCGATGATGGACCTTTTAAAATTAATATTAAGAGCTCAAATTTTGACAGAATTTTCTTTTAGCACAAGTGACGAGAATTTCACATGAATTTGAAAAAAGAAAAATATTGCCTTATTTTGAAACACCCTAATGCACATATATGTATATATATATATATATATATATATATATATATATATATATATATTAGACTGGTTCAAAAAAATCGAATATTTTTTTTTCTTCAAAGCCCGCATTAAATTATATTCCTAGTAGTGAAAAAAGAAGCCTGTGAAAATTGTAGCTCTTAATATTAATATTTAGAGGTCGCTCATCGTGAATTTCTATTTTACGTTTAAATATCACAGGAATTCTTTTTGTGTGTGTGTGTGTGTGTGTGTGTGTGTGTGTGTGTGTACGCAGTTAAAGTTAGAAAAAATGACCACGCTGTTGAGGGTTAAATTAAAGTACCTAACTGTAGAATCTTCAAAATATTTTTAAATGATTATACATAATTAAAAACAGATTGATCTGCCTTAACTATTTATTATTTTTTTCAGAGATCCAAGAAGCGATTAAGAAACGATGGGACAAGCACGCTCCATTGCTGTGATCTTTGAACAATTTAGTCTTGGTAACTGATAGTGATTCTGTGATAGTTCTATTTACAAATGTAAATAATTCAGTGTTTGGAACATTATTCTTGGCTTCAACATACAAAATATAAATTATGTGAAAGACAAAATTGTAAAAATTTACAAAAGTGTGAAAACTATTTATTAAGCATGCGGTGTGGAAAATTTGTGTTTTTTATTGTTTCTTTTATGTGTTTATTAGTGATTGTAAACTGTTTTATATCGCAACATGAAATAACAGAGCATAAAGAAAAATATACAATTGACGAACTGTTAAACACTGTTTTTCCAAAAAAAACTTCCAACGATTTGGATATGGACCCATGCAAAGCAGGTAATATTTTATTGGAAACTTTTAATACATAATATTGTAAAAAAATCTTATGGAAATATTTAAATTTTGCTTAAATTAAATTTATGACAATTTGTTTTAAATTTAATAATAGTTTGTTACAACAAATAATTTTAATTGTGAAACAGCGCAAGTTTATTAAATTAAATGTTTTATTCACTGAAGTGCTTGTGCAAGTACTTGTCTTATAAACTCAAAGAGTAATTTACCTTTTTAATTAAACATTATTAAAATATTTATAATTAGCTTCCTGATTTTAAAAATATTACCAATATTTAATTACTAATAATAATAGTTTTTTATATTCGTGTATTTTTAAAATTGATCGTGTAAAACTTTTAAATCAGATTCGAATGAACTCGACAAGAGTTTAAAATTTTAATGGGATTTTTAAATATAAAACTTGACTTACCTACTATCAATAATAAAAACGTTCAAATAAAACCCTTTAAAATGATAAATTGTTATCCCCGTCTAGACGATAATGGCTGAAGTTGAGAAAAATACCAATGACATTTTTTTAACCCAGACAGAGCCGTATTTAATTTTTTTTAAATTAGTACACTATTAATAATTTTTTTGTTTGGTTTATAACATTTAAATGTCTAAACTTTGGGTTAAATTAGAGTTTCGGTATGTTTATGGCCGTTTTGTTTTATTTAATTAAAATGTCATAATTATTTTTCCCTAACTTATTTTTAAAACAACAAAACCTTCATCGCAGATTACACTACAGGGACTACACAGACAAAACGGATTTTTTTAAATGCACTGATTACCTACTTGTTTTGTAAAACCAGAATAATTTTTGTAATATTATACTTTATACCTAATTGGAGGGGTAAGAAGCAAAACGGACAAGTGTATTTTTTATATATTCTCATAAAGTGAAAATTTTACGAGTTCTGTATATTAATTAATACAAACAACAATAATTGTTAAAAAGTTGATATGGTTTAACAAAAAATAATTAACTATAACTAAAACTATTAAACCGTTTAGTAATGATTTTTATAAAGTTGGTATACCTAATATTACAAAGTTTGTTCTGATTTTACAAAAAAAGTGCCTGAGTTTTAGAGCAAAATGTTACAAAAATACATAACAAGTAAAAATTACAAGAAAATAGTGCAAATAATTTAAGTCAAATATGTCTTGAAAAAAAACTTTACTTTATACATTAAAATCAAATCTGTCAAAATCATATTGTTCATAATAATGTGATTAATTAATGATATATTATGTATCAAGTTTTTTAGTTACGTTTTATTGGGCACGAGCAAAGCTTGCTAGCGAGTGTTTAATAAAAACGAGTGTCTAGGAAAGTTTATAAAACGAGTTGCATACTATACTTTATTTACGACGAACACAAAACAAATTTAAAGCCAATTTTACTTGTTAAACATTTGACATCTGTCAAATGTCAACGGATTTAATCTCACTTTTCCTAAATTATAATAAGGCTAATTTCAGCCTGTGACTAAAATGTCCAAAATCCACTATTGATAACTTGACCGTGACTAAAACGCCATGAAGTCCTGGCTACACCCTTGCTGGAAATGGGGCAAGAATCCCTGCTTTTCTAAAAGATTAAATTAAACCCATTAAACAAATTATGCATGCCTTAAACACTTTGTTTTTTAAATAATTTATATTGAAAAATATACAGTAGAAACCACCAATATATGAACGTGACTCATCGGGTGCCGAACATATCTCAGACATGCTAGCAGTAATGTTTTACTTGACTTGTACATTCGATGCAGCGGTAAATGTACTCACGCGTAGGTTTTTAAGCATTCGGTCTAAAATGCGCCATCTGTGATGTGATCTCACTTTACACTGCCTAGGTGTTCGACAAAGATGGACATATGACGCGTGTCCTAGCTTGTTACTTATTTTTGTCGGAATTCAGTATACTCTATAGAGTTCGTGTTTTAGGTAATTTATTATATTTTATTACATAGTAAGGCAACCAACTCTACCGTCGGCCATTTGTTTTTATATGTCATATGATCTTTGTTTTTGCATATCGTGTTTCTGCTGTGTGTTTACGGATTAATAATCGTTTTAAATGTTGTAGTGCTAGTGGTTTTTATTGCAATTGTTATTGCACGTTTATTGGTCTTTATTGCAATTGTTATTGTACGTTTTTTGTACTTTAAATAAACGTTGTAGTGGCAGTGGTTTATATTATGTAACACAGGTGGATGTCGTATAAAAATCCTTACCTAGAAATTCTAGGCTAGAATACAAAAATATTTTTTATTATATAAATGTTGTACTAGTATTAGTTTAATACATTCTGAAGAAGCTACTGTGTAGCGAAACAATTGTCAATATTTAATAAATTTCGTGAAACTAACGCAAGTTGTTTTTATATCCACACAATTTAATTATCTTTCACTTTGTACCTGAACTGCGTAAACATTTTTGTTTTTTGTCACCATTTCTGAAATATTTGCGTTTAAAGTTAAAAGAAAAGTTTATTTATTAATTAGTTTCTAAGAAAATTACATTTTATTTAATTATCGTAGATGTTAATTATTAAAATTTAACTTTAAAAGCAAATATATCAGAAGTATAGCAACCAACATTACACTCAAGATTTTTTACAAATATTTATGCCCCCGTTAGATCGGCACTGCACTGGACCCTGACCTTCGATAGATTACTTCCCAGTGAACCAAATCGTGACTTATGACCTAAAATTTACGTAACACGTAGATCATATCTAGGTAATACAATTTTTACGTCATAGTGACATAATACTGACCCAAAACGTGACTTTTATATGATGTAATTAAATGACTTACATATTACGTACATCTTATGTAATATTAAAGTCATATCGTGACGTAACATTAAAGTCACTTTTTTTACGTAAGACTGACATAAGAAATCTGTCATAATATTACATAACTTTTAGGTCACTGTCTTACGTAAGACTGACGTAATAAATCTGTCATAATATTACCTAAGTTTAAGGTCACTTTCTTACGTAAGGCTGACGTAAGAAGTACGTCATACTATTACATACGTTTTAGGTCACTTTCTTACGTAAGACTGACGTAAGAAATCTGTCATACCATTACATAAGTTTAAGGTCACTTTGTAAGGTAAGACTGACATAAGAAATCTGTCAATGAATGGACTTTTATTTTCAATGAATGAAATAGGCAAACATAATTTTTATTTTTTATTGATTGAAATGGTTAATTCCAATCATTGAGTAAAATAACGTAAGTAAATTCTATTAATTGAAATTGACGCTGATTATTTTAAACAATAAAATCAGTGGATACTTTTCCTTACCAATCAGTTTAATTCAAACATTAAAATACAGCAAATTTCATATTTTGAAATTACTTTTGCATCTAGCATGATGAAAGAAAAAACGCGAAGTTCCTTGAATTTTTTGGCTACTTAGTACTTGGTCGATTAAATGAAAATATGTTTTAAAATTAATCAAAAAATAATGTACCTATCTTAATTTAATATGTAATAAACATCATATAGATTTTTATGATTCCGGTTCCTACTGCTTTATGACGTAAAAAATTTTGAAAATAGCGTCGTACTTTCAAAAGTACACATTTTATTTAATGGTCATGTGAAAAATCATGTAGGTACTCATAATCATGGTTGCAAGTACTTGCAAGTACCTACTTATTTTTTAAATTGTAAAAAATTATCAACAAAAGATTTACGCGTTATTACGTGTTAACGTGTTATTTTTGTATTGTATGTTACTGTTATTATTTTTTGAAAATGGCGCTTTTGTTGAAAGTGGATTTTTTTTGTTCCACCCTGTACAATCGAAAAAATAACTAGTTACGCTTTAAAAGACCTGAAATGATATTTCACTCACTTCAAAAAAATGTGACCTTGGCAGTACGACGTCATTTGTTTTTTTTTAATCCATGCATGTCAAAAAATGTTACCTATAGCTATAGCTACTCAAAAAAAGCGATTTTTTTTGTTCTTATTTCTGACATATCCCTGTAAAGAATCTGAAAAATTAGTAGTTGGTTCAAAATCCATTGTGAGTTAGTTTTGATCAGCTTTATAAATTAGATAAAGTATCAGCTTGCAATAAATACCTTTTCGATAATGATTCCATTTCCCATTGAAAAAAATGTGACCTTTTGACAGTACGACGCCATTTTAGAAATTGGTTTAGGTCAAAAAGTAGTACCCAGAGTACCCTTGTCTCTGGTAGTACCTATATATTTAATGCCTTGTTTAACATACTAAAATTTCAATTTCCAAATACAGAGGTCCCATGGGGAAAAATCGTCTAAAGACGATCGTCTTTAGACGCGAATTCGTCCAATCGTCTTTCAAACGATCGTCTTTCAAACGATCGTCTTTCAAACGATCGACTTTCAAACGTACACATTTTATTCAATGGTCATGTGAAAAATCATGGTTGCAAGTACTTGCAAGTACCTACTTACTTTTTAAATTTTATATATCAACAAAAGATTTACGTGTTATTACGTGTAAACTATTAAAGAATTCTTCATTGATAAACAAATTTTATAATAATATTATAATATGGTCCGGTTATTGTGTTTCAGACAAATAAGGGTAAAGTTGTCAAATAACATTGATATATTAATTGTTAACAGTTGCAATATGCAGTAAAGGTTGCCTATGATAAGTAGGTATCTACTATAATATAGTAGAAATCTACTTATCATAGGCAACCACTATTGCATAATACATCTCGCTTTTGTGGCACTATTCGTTAAGTATATAAGTTGACACTGGCTGCATTGCAATTTGAGGTTTAGGAATCCAAACCTCGGCAAATAAATGAGTCACGAATTGTGGCCCAAAATTAAATTTAGCTTTTTCACTGGAATTCTTTGTTGGAGCCAGGATTGTTCCGTCAGGATCGCCATGGAATTTCCGTGGCCTTCCGCTAACCCACAATTTACTCATTTGGAAGAGGGAACTGATTTCAGCCTAGTGAG